TACAGTGTTCTATTTTGGTGGTGTCTTTACCTGACTTTGGTATTAAGGATACATTTGCTTCATAGAATGAGTCTGGGAGAATTTCATCTTTTTCTATTTTCTGAAGTAGTTTATGTAGAATTGGTGACAGTTCTTCTCTGAATGTATGATAAAATTAACTTGTAAAACCATCTAGTCCAGTGCGCTTTTTTTGTTGGAAGTTGTTGTATTGCCTGTTCAATTTATTCTTTTGTAATGAGTCTGTTCAGGTGTTCTATTTTGATCTGTGTTGGTTTAGGTAGGTTGTGAGTTTCTAAGTATTTGTCTATTTCCTCTAGGTTTTCATATTTGTTTGAGTATAGATTTTTATAATATTCCATTGTTTTTGTTGTTGTTATGTGCTGTCAAGTCGCCTGTGACTCATAGCAACCCTATGTACAACAGTCCTAAACTCTGCTCTGTCCTGTGCCAATTGCACTGTCTCTGATACACCCATCCCGATTACCCCAGTCACTGAATCAATCCACCTCATAGAGGGCCTTCCCCTCCTGTGTTGTCCCTCCCCCCTCCCAAGCATGATGTCCCTCTCCAAGGACCTTCCTAACAACATGTCCAAAGTATGTCAGACGGAGCCTCAGAATCCTTGCCTCCAAAGAGCCTCCCAGTTTAACCCTCTCCAGGATGAATCTGTTTCCGTAGCAGTCCATGGTACATTCAATACTCTTTTCAAGCACCACAGCTCAAAGGCATCAATTCTCCTTCTATCCTCCTTAGTCACTGTTCAACTCTCTGATGCATAACAACTGATAGCAAAGCCCATGGCCTGTATCAGACACACCTTAGTCTCCATAGAGACACCATTGCTCTTCAGTACTTTGGAGAGGTTCCTAACAGCAGACTTTCCCATGAGAATACGTCTTTTAATTTCCTGGCTGCTGGTTCCAAGAGTGTTGACTGTGGAGCCAAGCAAACTAAAGCTGTGAACAATTTCAATCTCTTCACCATCCATCCTGATGCTGCCAACTGGTCTAGTGGTGAGAATCTTTGTCTTCTTGACATTGAGCCTCAATCCATATTGGAGGCTGCAGTCCTTGACCCTCTGCAGCAGGCGCTTCAGATCCTCCTCAGTTTCAGCAAGCAGGGTTGTGTCATGTTAACATTCTTATTTTATTTTTTAAAATTCTATTATTTTTACGTGTACTGTCAAATCAGATCTGACCGGTACAGGAGGAGATTGTCCCCTCTTTCTCCAGCAGAGCATCTGGTGGATTCGAACCGCGTACCTCTGGGATTGTAGTGCAGCATCTTGCCACTAGGCCACCAGAGCTCCCTTAACATTCTTATTTTAGTTGGCTCTATTGTGGTATTGCCTTTTTTATCTCTTATTTGGATTATTTATGTCTTATCTTTTTTCTTTATTTTTCTTTGTTAGTTTTGCTAGTGGTTTGTCAATTTTATTTATCTTTTTAAAGAACCAACTCCTGGTTTTGTTGATGGTTTCAGTTGTTTTTGTTTTCCATTTCAATTATTTCTGCTCTTATTTTTAATTTTTCTTCTTGTGTACCATCAAATCAGGTCTGACTGGTATAGGAGGAGACTGCCTCTCCTTCTCCAGTGGAGCATCTGGTGGATTTGAACTACATGCCTTTGGGACTGCAGCATAGCTTCTTGCCACTAGGCCATCAGAGCTCCCTTATTTCTGCCCTAATTTTTATAATTTCAGTTCTTTTAGAGGTTAATGGAGTTTTTTGCTGTTCTTTTTCAATTTGTTAGAGATACTGGGTTAGAAAGTCAATTATAATTTTTTTTCTTGCCTTTCAATGTGTTTGCTTATTGTTATAAACTGACTTCTAATTACTGCTTTGGCTGTTTCTCAGAGGTTTTGTTAAGTTGTGTTTCATTCTTATTTGGTTTCAAGAAACTTTTAAAATTCATTTTTATTCCTTCTCATACCCACTTATGTTCAGGCAGGGTGCTGCTCAGCTTCCCAATGTATGCTTTTTGTCCTTTATCTTCTTGTTTCTAATATTGTATTGTATCATATTTCTAATACCGTAGCATTGTGGTCTGAGAAGATGCTTTGTATTATTTGTATATTTTTACATTAGAGAAGACGGTATATTATGCTTTGATGAGGTACATAAGCCTGCAAGTATCTATGAGATCAAGTTGGCTTATTGTGTGGTTTAATTTTTCAACATCTTTGTTAAGTTTATTAACGAAAAGGAAACTAGAGTGATTATACTATCATGGAAAACAAATTTTAATTAGAAACAAGGCAAAACAAAGCAAGCCCAAAAAACTCTTACTAGAAACAAAGAGAAACATTTTACAAAAGGGCCAATTTATCAGAAAGGGAGCAATTATGAACACAAGTATACCTAAAAAACTTCTAAATGAATTAATAACCGACAAACGCAAGGGTGAAAGGAGACAATTTGGCAGGAATGGTCAAGACAGGGGACTAGAGATGGGAAAGCCTGTAAAAGAGAGCTTTGAACAACTTGATGCCAACCAATCAGGGGCGTCTGATAAGTTAATCGGTGATCTGGAATCCCATCCTCCCCAGTGTTAAATGTTGTGATCCCACAGTTAAATGCTTCTGCAGAGTCAATAACACAGAAACCTACATCTTTCTGGTATCCTCTGCTATCAGCAATAACGTCCTCTAGTCCACAGCCTCCTCTACATCCAGCCTGAATTCTGGCAGTTCGCTGCGCTGGCTAGTTGTGAAAAATCTTCAGGAAGATTTTACTTACACAAGATATTAATGAGATTGTTCTGTAATTTCTGCATTCTGTTGGATCATCTTGGGAACAAATATAGGTGTCTCCAGGCTGGATAGCTATCTGTCTTCCAAATTTCTTGGCACAGGTCAGTGAGCACATCCAGGACTGTTCTATGTGTTGAAACATCTGAAATGGTATTTAGTCAGTCCCTGCAGCATTCTCTTTTAGAAACGTCTTCAGTGCAACATGGACTTTTTCCTTTAATTCCATTGGTTCTCATCTGCTACTTCCTGAAATGATTCCGCCTTAATCCATTCTTGTTACAATGACTCTGTGTATTCTCTTCACCTTCTTTTGACACTTCCTATATGATTAAATATTCTGTCCAAAATAGAACTTCATACCAACTAGAAAAAGCCAGGAAGTGGGAGCTCTGGTGGCCTAGTGCCAAGAAGCTGCACTGCAATCCCAGAGGTGCACGGTTCGAATCCACCAGATGCTCCACTAGAGAAGGAGGGGCAATCTCCTCCTGTACCAGTCAGATTCGATTTGATGGTACATACACACACAAATATAATAATTTTTTTTAAAAAAAGATAGGAAGTGCTGGTGCGAAGTGGGTAAACAGAACCCCTACCGGGGCCTGGTGGAGTGTATGGTGGCACAACCATTGTGGAACACCTGGCAGATTCTTAAGGAATGACCCGTCAAATGTGCTTCCAGGTGTACAGTTAAGAAAACAGAAGCTTGTCCCCATGAAAGCTCCTTTGTGAGCTGCTTCATGTTTGAGCTTCATGAATCTTCAGGAACCACAAATCCCACAGAGTGGATGTGGTCCAGGGTCTCTCCAGCAAGGAACGGGTAACCAAGCAGGCACACGTCCACACAGGGTGGTACAAGGACCACCTGCAGTCACAGCTCCATCATGGACGATCTGAAATATGCTAGAGGACAGACACCACTGACTGAGAGCAGGGTGCCCGCTGCTGGGGACTAAGGAGTGTGTGGGGCCCTCCTGGGGCCAAGGGGAGGCTCTCAAAAGGAAGCAGACACTCGCCCAGCTGTGGCAGCTTCCTCAACACTGCCAACTTGCTCACCAAAGGGATGGACTTTGTGGCACAGACGTTATGCCTCAACAAGACGTGATATATACCCTCACTCCTCACAGGAGGTCCCAAAAGAAAAGCCAAGCCAACCACACCAACACAGAGCGTGTGCAGGGCAGAGCGTGCGCGGGACCTGTACTCAGATGGGGCAGGCAATTGCCTTTCCCAGTCCTTTCCACTGCCCTGCACGGGACCAACAAAAACCTGTCAACAGGATGGGGACAACGCCCCTGTCCAGCGCATAAGTGGAGCCCCAGGACTGAACTGGCCTGCACACGGACACGTTAGCAGGACAAAACTGATCCCAGAGACAAACAAGGCCTGAGATTGTCTAAGTGCCCATCAGAATTCTCTCCTCAAGTCTTTTTTACAACCAAACAACTGGGAAGGTACATGTATGCATGAGTATGACGACCCAGGCCCGTCATCCTGAGGCCAAGCTGACCTGCACACCTGGGGGTGGGTGACCCAGAGAGAGACCCCACCCCAGAGGGAGACCCTGACCCAGTGGGAGACCGTGACCCAGAGGGAGAGAGGCCAAGATGACTGGCACATCTGGGGGTGGAGCAACCCAGAGAGAGACCCCACCCCAGAGGGAGACCCAGTGGGAGATCCCAACCCAGAGAGAGACCCCAACCCAGAGAAAGAGACCTCGACCCAGAGAGGAAGACTCCACCCAGAGAGGAAGACTCCACCCAGAGAGGGAGACCCCCAACCCAGAGAGGGCAGTCCTACTTCAGATTAAGGCCCGTCTTAGAGGAGACAACTCCTCAACATGTGCAGTCAGTGCTCCTGTCATGGGGTGAGTGCTCCTGTCCTCTTCACAGGGTGCCTGTGGAGGCACAGTCTGAGCTCCACCTGCCTCTAACAGTCCCCACTGTGCACTGGCCCTCTTCAGGGACCATACAATGGTGGGGCTTGGGAGCTACTGCTTTAGAACCAGCGTCCCAGGGAGAGAGCTGTGCTAGGTTCGGGGTGACCGCAGAGTGCCGTGTCCAGGAGGCCCCACCCTCAGATGCTACAGCACAGAGGAAGTGCTGAGCACTGCGGTGCGGTGTCACACACCTGGACACTAGATGCACCTGGGACAAGGCGCACCTGGGTACTTGTCAACCCCAGGCTCACGGTACAGCTGGATGCAGCATCCCTGTGGGGAAGGGCCTCAGGCCTCTGGCATGGACTCTACCTTGCGCTGGCAGAAGGTGGAGCAGTAGTTGACCTTGTGGCAGCCGGTGCACTCGCTCAGGGCCTCCCGGCCACAGTTGACACAGGACTGCTGCAGGAAAGACAGAGTGGTCAGCGATGACACACAGGGGCCACGTCCCTCTGCCTGCAGTCCACTGCCTGTAGTGTCTGTCCTGGGTCTGGGACCCCTACCCACCTACTGTGTCCTGGGCCCAGTCTGCTGAGGGCAGGGGAGGCCCACCCAGATGCCCACTCACTCTCGCGGGGGCAAGGCAGAGCACCAGACATTCATGGACAGGCAGATGGGACTTTTACAGGCTGAAGGGTGTGACATCCCCTTTCCCAACAGCACACGTTTGAGTCCTGTCTATACCACATGCCCTGACCCTGAGAGGTACCCAGAACCCAGAGCAGTCACACGAGTTGTTTCTGGTGACAGGGCTTCACTGCCGAGGTGGGACCAGCCTGCAGTCTCTCCCTGGACCACAGACAGAACCATCCAGGGACTGTAACAATAAGGACAACTGACCAGTTCCCAGGCAGGACTCAATAGTGCCCTGTACCTGGGAGACCAGGGATGATATGGACATGTCTGTGTCCCCATGGTCGCATGGTAGGGGAAGGCACTGTTTAGGATATGGGCAGGCTCTAAGGCCTGGACACCAACACCCCAGGTGCCCACAGTGCCACCATTCAAGATAGACAGCTTCTGGGGCCCCGGCTCACTGCCCTTCCTCAACAAGCACGTCTTCACCACCATCTGTCTGAGGCCCTGGTGCTACACACACTCACTCATTTGGACACAAGGCCGTCAGTGGGCCACTTGTCTCCACTTTAAACAACAAAACACTTTTCAAAAGACCCAAGCCTGTAACCTTAACAGTTATCTTCAGGGAGGGCTTCATTCACTTGAGATGAAGCCGGGGACTGTGATGGATCTGCTGTGCCCCCTAGTAACCCTCTCATGAACCAGATGCCCCCATGCCCCACAGAACCATCCACCCAGTCCTCTACGTGCCCTCATCCTTCACCCACACACCAACCCATGGGACAGCAAATTCTGGTTCCAACTGCCCTTGTCCCACCAGACAGACCCCCTGCCCTCATCAACACCCTAAATTCTACCAGGGACCATCACCACATCCACCTCCCTATGGACACACCAATGGACTGGTCTGCTCCCCTCCGGGACTGTCCCCCTACCCCTCCATGAGAATGCTCCTCACAGAACTGCTCCCTGCCTCTCAACTGGACTGACTTCCTCCCTGGATTAGTCCTTCCCCCAATCCCCCCAAAGGAACACCCTCCCATGGGACTGCTCTCTGCCCACCCCTAAGTCTGACCGCACCGCAGAACTGACCCTCCTTCCACCCCTCATAGGACTAATTCCACCACCAGACAAGCCATGGCATTCCCACCCACCCCCCTCAGGTATGCTGCCTGCCCTCTCACAGGACCGCCCTGACCACGGGATAATCCCTCCCACCCCGACAAAAGGATGTCCCTCCCAAGGGGATGTGCCCCCCCCCCATGGCTGCACTGTGTGGACTCAGGTCTCCTTCATGACCAGTGACCAAGAATGCACTTGTGTGATGGGCAGTGACTCAATTTAAAACAAGTTCAGTAACCAAGGGTCACCTGACCCCCAGAAAGCTGCTCGGGACACCCTCTTGGTCAGGGCACAGCCAGAGACCCTGAGCTTGATCTCAGCTGAGCATGCAAGCAGCAGGGAATGTGCAATGTGGGGAGGAAGTGTGGGGCAAGGGATGCCTGCAGGGGCTGGAAGCCAGGCGTGGACAGGAGCCAGGCGTCTACATACCCGGCCACCTGGACCCTTGCCAGAATGAAAGGGCATCCACTCACCCGTCCCCACACAGCAGATTGTAGCATGGCCACAGTCCCTCCCAGCCCCTCTAGGGTACAGGTCAGAATGTGGGTATAGGGTCCTTGTCACACAAGGTCACTCAGACATAGACAAGGAACTTCCAGATGTTCAAGCTGGATTTAGAAGAGGCTCTGACACTAGAGATATCACTGCTCGTGTTAGAAGGATTCTGGCTGAAAGTATAGAATACCAGAAGAATGTCTAATCATGCTTTAGTGACTATGCAAAAGCATTTGAATGTGTGGCTCATAACAAACTGTCACTAACACAGAGACAAATGGGATTTCCAGAACACTTAACTGTGCTCATGCAAAACCCACCTAGACCAAGAGGCTGCTGTGATAACAGAGCAAGGGAACACTGCATGGTTTAAAATCAGGAAAGGCATGCATCGTAGCTGTATTCTCTCTCCACACCTATTCAATCTGTATGCAGAGCAAATTATTTGGGAAGCTGGACTCAGTGAAGAAGAATGTGTCATCAAGACTGGAGGAAGACTCATCAATAACCTTTGTTATGTGGATGACAAAACCATGCTTGCAAAAAATGAGGAGGACTTGAAGCACTTGCTGCAGAAGGTAAAACACTGTAGCTTTCAATATGGATTGCATCTCAACATCAAAGAAAGCAAAAATCCTTGCCACTGGACTGATAGCCTACATCATGATGGATAGAGAACGAACTGGGTCTGCCAATGACTTCATCTTAAGTGAAACCATAATCAATACACTTGAGACTATGCAAAGGCATTTGACTGTGTGGATCACAACAAACAATATAGCTAACATAGAAAAGAATGGAAATCTCAGAATATTTAATTGTGCTCCTACGAAATCTATACGTGGACCAGGAAGCAGTCATCAGAACAGAGAAAGGAAACACTGCATGGTTCAAAACCAGGAAAGGTATGCGTCAGGGATGCATCCTGTCTCCATACCTTTTCAATCTGTATGCAGAACAGATCATTCAGGAAGCTGGGCTTTATGAGGAGGAATGTGACATCAGGATTGGAGGTAGACTCATCAACAACCTACATTATGCAGATGACACAACCCTGCTTGCTGAAAGTGAGGAGGACCTCAAGTGCTTGCTGCAGAAGGTCAAGGACTGTAGTCTTCAGTATGGATTGAAGCTCAGCATCAAGACAAAGATTCTCACCACTGGACCATGAACTATATGAAGAAAGGAATAGCCTACTAATACACACACTGTGGCTTGAATTGTGTCCTCCCCCAGTCATATGTCAACTTGGTTTGGCCATAATGGAAGTATTATCACTTTCCACGTTATGAACTGATGTCAATGGGCCATGCGCTGTACTCCTAACCTGTGTGGAGCTATGTTAACTGGACAGGATGCAATCTACAGGATTAGGTTTTACAGTGCATAAATCTGCTGAGATATAGTCAGTAAGTGAGCAGTGATCGTGGTTAGATGGACTGCAGTACAATCTACTGCCTGGGAGCAGAGGGCGTCCACAGGGATAGTGTCCTGGGTGAGGTCCTCCAGGTGATGCACACACACAGGGGTATCTGAAGGACAATGGGCCCACAGATTCTGAACGGAGACAAAGACCATCCCCTACAGCTCAACAGTGGTATTTACTGTTGAGGTGGAACTCGCCCATACCTGACACTCCAGTGGGTTTTCAGAGGCAGTAAATCCAAGTACAGCAAGGGAGACAACTGCCCATCTTTCTCCTGCAGAGTAGCAGGTGGATCTGAGTCACGACCTTCGGGCTGGCAATGCAACCCTGACCACTAAGCCACCAGAACTCCCCTACCCTACAACTTGTTGTTGTTTTGCACCATCAAGCTGGAACCAACCCCTAACTGACCCTCCAGTGGGTTTTCGGAGGCAGTAAGGTGCACAAGAGGAGACCGCCCATCTTTCTCCCACAGAGCAGCTGGTGGACTCGAACCTCATACTTTCTGGATTGCAGTGCAACTTCTTACCACTCGGCCAGCTGAGCTCCCTACAACTTGTCATTGTTGTTATATGTCATCGAGTAGCCTGTGACTCACAGCGACCCTATGTACAACAGTCCTGAACCCTGCTCTATCCTGTGCCAGCTTCACTGTCTCCCACACACCTACCCTCATCACCCCAGTCACTGAGTCAATCCATCTCATCAATGGTCTTCTCTTTCTCTGTCCCTCCACCCTTCCAAACATGATGTCCCTCTCCAAGGACTGATACCTCCTTGCAACACGCCCAAAGTATATCAGATGAAGCCTCAGAATCCTTGCCTCCAAGGAGCAGCCCGGTTTCACCTTCTTCAGGACAGACTTGTTTGTTCTCCTGGAAGTCTATGGTATATTCAACACTGTTCTCCAGCACCACAGCTCAAAGGCATCAATTCTCTATCATCCCTAGTCATTGTCCAACTTTCTGATGCATACAGCAAGCAACTGTTAAGACTATGGCCTGGATCAGGCCCATCTTAGTCTCCAGACTGATATTGTTGCTCTTCAGTACTTTCAAAGAAGTTCCTGACAGCTAACTTCCCAATGCAATGTGTCTGTTGATCTCCTGGCTGCTCATACTAAGAGTGTTGATTGTGGAGCCAAGTAAACTAAAGCTAAAACAGTCTCAATCTCTTCACCATCTATTATAATGCTGCCAATTGGCCCAGTGGTGAGAATCTTTGTTTTCTTGATGTTGAACCTCAATCCATACTGAAGGCTGCAGTCCTTGACCTTCTACAGCAAGTGCTTCAGATCCTCCTCAGTTTCAGCAAGCAGGGTTGTGTCATCTGCATAATGGAGGTTGTTGATGAATCTTCCTCCGATCCTGATGCCATATCCCTACAATCAGCAACCTGACTTAGGACTTCTAGTCAAATAAACGGTGACAAAATAAATTTGTCTGCTAAGGCCACTCTCCTGTGGCAATTCTGTTGCACCTGTGTTAGGAACTAAGAACTTGGTGTGGGAAGAGCAGGGTGTGGCCCTAACAGCCACACAAGGTGAAAAGCGTTTGGAACTAGATCCTGAGGAGAGGCTGCGAGGGTTTGAAGAACTTAACAGGGAAAGAAGGAGAACTGATGCCTTTGAGCTGTGGTGCTGGAGAAGAGTATTGAATGTACCATGGACTGCCAAGAAAACAAACAGATTCATGCAGGAGAGGGTTAAACCAGGCTACTCCTTGGAGGCAAGGATTCTGGGGCTTCGTCTGATATACTTTGGGCATGTTGCAAAGAGTGA